GAGCAGGAGGAAGAGTAGCGGCACTGTGCCCCAGCTCAGGCCTATCATCATCATCATCATTATAATAATAATTATTATTCTGTTAATGGAAGCCAGTTTGCCCCTTTTATCTTCATCATCACCGTACTTGAAACGGGATCCCTGCTTGTAATAACCTTCTAGCAGCTAGGGGTGTGAAGGTCATCCTGTGGAAAGATCCTCCCTGATACTGGGATGCACACTGTTATAAGGTTTTAATTTTCATTTGTTGATGTTATTTAGAGGCTTGCGTTCCTGATTGTCACCCCGGCCCCCTACATAGGTTTATTATATACAGCAAGCAAGCAGAGAATCTTTGCCCTAGAGCCAACAGATCAAGAGTGCATGGCCCCCAGCCTGGCAATCTCTAGTGTTGTGTGCAGGGTGGCCCCGTGCCACGCCCACCCCTGTCTTTAAAACAACGTCCTGTTCCACTAGGGCTTCATTGGGAGTTGTCCCGAGAGCAATCGACAGCCTGTGGAAAGGTCCAACTCTGCCTCATGTACTTGTCTTTTCGAATACTGGCAGCAAACGGGTGACAATTCCTCATCTCCTGGAGCTCTTTTCTTCACAGCAATATAGTGACTGATTTATATATGCAACTCGCCCGCCTAGATTCTCAAGGTCCAAAACTCTCTGCCATACTGGATCTGGGAGATTTCATTTCCAGGGCTCTGATAAACCCCACTCCACTGGCCTCCACCTCTCCCACCTCTCGTTGCCTCCCCCCGTCTTTTGAAAGGGTGGTGGGACGTGGCAAACGGACAGGCTAAGTGTCATTTGTGGATGAAGTGCTGAGCGGCAGGCAGACGGAGGTGCCAGATCCTCAGTGTGGTTAGTGCTGTGCCGATCGGTGGATCTTCTTGGCAGGAGACTGACTAAACCAGGCGTTCCGGACCTCCTCCTAATTAAGACCGATTGAGCCATTTGTCCATTAGGGATCCAGGTCGCTGCGCTAGAGGGAAGCTTGCTGATCACTTCCTCAATCCTGAGGACCCCCCAAACCTGCTGGTTTTCCTTCCCGAACCCCAAGAATACCCGAGGCAGGGACCGAGCGCAAACAGGACAGGCAGAGCTTGAACAGGGTTGCTAGGCAAGTTCCAGAGTCTGCCTTCACAATGACAGCAACATCTGTTGGGCCGGCAGAATACGGGATTTTTTGGTATGTCGTACTGTCTCGTCATCAAAAGCGCTGGTGGTTTCCTCGACGCCCTTGTAGTTTAGAGGTCAGGCTATGCCCCAGTTTACTCGGAGGAAATAATCAGTGCCAGCCCTTACAATGTTCCACCCTGTGCTGAGCAGGCACTGGAGCCTTGCCCTGTCCAGCAGTTCTGGTGGCGTCCCGCCCGTGTGCACAGACCACACACACGCTGCAAACCCTGGGAGGGGCGTTTCGCCCTGAGCTGCAGCCCACCCTTCTCTGTATGTTCACTCACTCGAGTAGTTCAGCTCACCGAGCGGGACTGGCGCTCTCAAGCACCCCCTGCTGGGCCAAAGAAGAACTGCGACAGGCTTTGAAAGGACGAAAATGGCTGGCAGAGAACAGTATTTGTACATGGTGTCTAAATCGTTATGTAGGCCGTCGAGGTGCAGAAGCCGTGCTGTAGAATTTTAACATCACACTTAAAATAAACATGCTATATCTAAGACACTTAAAAGGAAAAAAAAAACGATTAATATAAATATTGTACGAAAATGATATTAAAGGACAAGTGCTATAATAGTTATTTATTTAATGGTTTTGGTTGTTAGAGACTTAGAAGGATGTTCAAATATAAGTATTCCTTAAAGCTCTCTTAAAGCTATTGGAGTTCATTAGAAAAAAATAAGGAATGTTTTGTACGTTTATATTTCACCTGCAAGATCTTATTTTTATGTTAAGTGAACGATTGTTTGAAACGGGATTACAGCGGCAGTGAGCAGCATCTCCTTTAAAGCACAAACAGTGAAACCAGGTAATGACAACACTGGACATCGCGAGAGTATTTTGCAACCCAGCCGTGCGGACGCCTTCTGGTTATACAGAAACAAAAGCGATGCACAGTGACAAAACGCGGGTGTAAAAATGTAGGTGCAACTTTTTTGTGCCATTTAGCCATTTCAACTTGAGCTAGACTTCTGCCGCGGGCAGGGCGTTAAGACTGCTGTGCATATCGCCTAGCGCAAGTCGCGAGTGCTAAACCGCCACGCCCTTAGCCACTTCTGTCTCGTTTGTTCATGTTCATCCTGCAGAGCAGGGAAAAAAACAACACTTCCACCTAATGGTGAAGTAAAATATTGCACTGGTGGCTTCTCTGAGAGCACTAGCCCCTTGTGGAATAGGATTGAAAGATGAATTGTGCAAAGATACACAACACAGTTCATTAATCAAACCTGTACAAACAATATTTTCAATGTATGATTAGTATCAGACTTTAAAAATCTGGAGTTCTATGGACATTATGGATGACATAGATAAATTGGATTTCATATTAACAGACTTTTAAATTCCTTTAAGACATGGATGGTATGTCTTTTCCACTAAAGACTTAAACCCATCCTGTTAAAGACCATGCTTTAAGCTCCGTTGGTCAGAGCACCATCTCAGCTCTGAGACCTGGAAGCACACAGTGCACCAGCAACAGGTCTTGAATTTGAGTGTCAAATACATCCTGTAGGCTCTTACATGCTGTTTCCATCGTTTTGCTTTCAGAACGCTGGGGATGCGTTCCTGCACTTCTAGAAATGGGAGGTCACCTTTACTCTGGAGGAAAGCCCTCAGTTAATAAACCCCCTTGATGTGCTTTATTTCAGGTCCACGATAGTGTGTAAACGACAGTAAGCTGCTTTAGAAGAAGCCACTCAAAGGGTTAACATCACCTGCACATTCCTCTTGATTCATTTCCTTTGTCACATTTATCCTGTCACATGCGTTCTAGAAGATCCTTGTTTATTTCAGCAGAAATGATTGGCCACTCTCAATAACTGTTTCAGTACACTGCTGATGAGCGGGCGAATCTCGCAGTGGATCTCCAGGAATCACGTTTGGGAAGCCAGTCTGCGTTGCACCGTCCCACTGGAGGTGCAGGCCCTCTCTCCAGTTCCCCTCGAGCTGTGCCCTTCTCAAATGGGCAGCTCAGGACTCCAAGGACAGCATGAGAGCCACTCTCTGACACTTTGTGATGTTTCTTACTTTGTGGAATACAAGCTGCGAACATTGCCCTTGTATAGAGTATATACAAAGGGAAACGCTGACTCCTCTGTATGGGCATGACTTTCTGCACCTGGTGTGCAACCGCCTGCAAAGCAGGGAGAAACAGGATGGGATGAGAGTGTTGTAAATAGGGATCACTTTGCAGTGTTCAAGTTGGGATGGGTATAAAGTCTTCAGCATGGCAGCGTTCAAATGCTTTGCACATCATGTCCTGTCTTTCAAGGTTAGAAGCCCCTTATTTTGCTGCAGTTCTTGCTCAGTAGCTGTAGATGAGCTAGGCAGTGACTGAAGGCTCGCCACACAGAACGCGTGCAGTAGGACAGTGGGACGCATGGTGAGAAATTAAGGATACAACAGACTGTGCAAGTGATGTGAACCACTCTTTTGCTCCCAAATTGCCTCCTTGAGATCAGTGTGTAAGTCTTTTCTCAGTCAAAAAAACAAGGAAATAATCACTTTTTCTTTGGTCTTATTGGAACTTATTGGAAAGCACCTTCTCCTTCCCTTTTACAAAATTGCAGTAGAGTCCTTGTGTGCTGAGAATGTACGAAGGTCTGGCTTGGCATCCAGGATCAAGCCTGTGACCCATGATAGGGCTCTGGGCTGAGGGTTATTGGAACTGCTGAGCAGTTCACCCCTTCAGAGAGTATTCTATGGATGTGAGCCCAGTGATCAAAATATTCCATAACAAGAAACACCAGCTTAAGAACTGAGCAGCATGGGGAACTGGTTTTAACGGATCTAGTGCAGTCTCCGAATCCCTAAAACAGACACACGTTTCGTGACCTAATCAGGATTAAAATAGTGATCACATCTTTTGGGCAAGCAGCTCTACTATGCTGAGCAATTAGGACATGGAAAGTTAAGAAGGCGAAGAGGGTGGCTGGGGGCTTTGTTTTAATAAGAGATATTTGGAATACAAAGGACTTGCGCTCTGTTTTTTTCACACCTTATTTTGTACTGTTTGACTTTTCCTAGCAATAATTGATAGCACTCCCTCTTGGTACATGATGTATGCAGTATATATATATACCTTCCTCCCTGGAGCTCTGCTGGAGTCCCATAAGAGTACAGTGCACCCTGTTCTGCTGAGACTTTCCTAACTCCTGTGTTACCACACAGACTGTGGATGCTTTACATAGAGCTTATAGCTGTAACCTTATTTTAATAAACTTCAGAATTGACTAATCCCGCTCAAGGCCCTGATTGCTACTAACGTCCAGTTTGCACTTTCAGGGAGGACAAGGTTTTTTTTTTTTTCGCATCTTATGCAGTGACACACCCTGCGGCAGATCTCATTCAGCCATCTTGCTGAGTTGGAAGACAGTAGTATTTGAGATCTTCTGGATCGTTGATATGTTATTCATGGGTATGTGATGAAAGACTCTCTGTAGCAGTGCATTTCTGAAGGTTTTGAGAGATTTGGCTACAGGATAGAGGAATACTGTATATACTGTGTTCTCCTAACCATCAGCACATAAAGAGCAGGAAAACAGAGGTTTAACCTCATTATCCACAGCCATCTTTTTTATGTGTAAACATGATAACTGCCAGAGAATGAAATGAATAATTAGTACAGTACGTAGATACTGAGTATTTCATTACTTAAAACTGTGAGTATACAGGCACAGTAAATTCAATTTTCTTTGTTTTAACATAGAAGAGAAAAGTCTCTAAATTTGGCTCAGGCTCCCTGCATGTATTGCACTACTTTAGACTGTAACCATGCTCAGCTGTGTGTCTCTCCACCCATCTACTCATTTGTGGTATAAATGAGCCAACAGGTACACTTGAGTACTCACTTTCTCACTTCTGTGAGATGCATTGCCCTAAGCAGGCAGGAATACAGTACCTGGAGTTTTCCCTATTCCAGTATGGTAATACCTGTACTGAACGGTAGGTGGTACAATTTTTTTCTCAAGCTACTGTCAAGAAGCATGTTCCATCTATGGGTTAAAACGTTTGTGCACAGCTACTGACCTGACAAACTAGAAAGTCCTTGACCACATGTTTAATGAGCTGAACCTAAATACTAGATAATTTGTACTGGTGCTCTTGTCATATGTAATAGATATTATAGATATAGGGTTAATAAAACCTTATAGTACCCAAATAATGATCGACATACAATTTATTTTGGAAGTGGGGTAGTTGTAGGGCTACAGATAGATATTCTAAAGTAATATGTGTGTTTTATCAGGGATAATGTAAGCGTCAGTGGTATTTTGATCATACCTTGACTTTTTCTGAGGACTTTTGTTTTTTATAGAACTACGATCTATTAGATATAACTAATATCCCCCAAAAAAGGGCTCAAGCAAAGTTTCATAAGAAAAGATCCATGTACATCTCATGCTCTTTTAATCTAATCAAACATAGCAATAAAATCATTTTTGCTCAGAGCATTATGGTCATTCTTACCCTAGCTCAGTCCAAATCTAATCGAATTTCCTGCTCCAAAAAACACTTCTAAGATGGAAAATACTAGTTAACAGTAAACCCCAGAAACGTGCTAAAATGGAGTTTTGAGCGGAGAACAACATGGGAGGAATTCAGGTAATCAATCTACAAGTTGATTCATCGGAATCTGCCTTGCAAACAGTCA